TAGTGCTTAGATTTTTTGGGTGTTTGCTGAAATGCATTGTTAAAATCTGAACCATAAGAGAGGTCAATTTACATTTGCATATGCAGCAGGGCATTCTGGGAGCATCCTGCAAACATTATTTCTGAAAATTGGTGTTTTCAATACATGCTTTTTCTGAGGTATGATTTGTGATATGTTGGTGATGCACAATAGTATATTTTGAATTTGCACTAAATTATTGTAATGTATAAAATGTTATTTACTGATTGACATTGAGTCCTTTCTCACACCTCACACTTCCTTGATTGTTAGAATGCATGAATGCAATTTTAAATTCAAACTTAAAACAAGGACTAAAATCATAAGCTCAGTGACCCATTCTTCAATTAGAATATACGTTATAAAAAAACAAACAAACAAACAAACAAACAAAACAATTTCACAAAACATCAAACATTAAATTCTGATGGATCTTTAGGGGACTATGCAGTGTACTTGTGGCCCAAGCAATATGTTATACCAGTACCAAACATTGCAAATTCTGAAACATCATTGGGATCCAATTTAGATTATTGGCTCAGGGCTTAAGGACTCCTAAACTAGAAATTCCATTGAAAGTTAAAATATCCCTTTTAAAAAAATATGTTCTTTACAGGAGTTTTCTTGACTAAACAGATGAGAAAATTAATTTGGGCAGCATCACAAAAAAATCACATAAAAATCTTAAATATTAATTTGAGGCCAATATTGGCCTCAAATTAATACTTTTTGGTAAGCTTTTCAAATTATTTAATAATTATAATAATAATACATGTATTTAATATAAAAATATATTGATATATCTAAAAATATTAAAATATTTTACAAAATATTAAATAGTTTAAAAAGCGTATCCAAACTTTAAGTTGAGTCCATAGTTAAATTGAATCCATAGTTAGATTTTGCAAACTCAGAGATAATCATTTTAGTGACTGAAGAAAGCATGCATTGGTTATGATTATTAAGAGTTTTGTACATCAGCAAGACAATTGTGTTAGGTATTCACGTTATACCACCCAGTAGAGAGAGCAGAGGATGACTGTAAGAGAGTTAAAAACCCTTTTAACGCACACCTATTTCCAGCACAGAGGTCCCTCAGTGCTGGCTCTGTCACCTCCTCTGATGGCACGCTGATGGGGGAACCTAATGCGCATTCACGTTGAGCACTGTGTGTGCATTAGGGATTCTCTATAGGAATGCAATGAATCAATGCATTCCCTATGGGATATTTGTAGACCCTGGATGTCCTCATGCAAAGCAAAGGATGCACAGCGCTGTTTCACTGAGTTAATCTTGGTGAGGCACCAAGAAGTGCCTCTAGTGGCTGTCTTCCAAACAGCCACTAGATGTGGAGTTAACACTGCAATTGTTGCAGTTTGCTTGAAACTGCAATGGTTTACATCACATGGTTAAGAGGACAGGGCCCCTGCACCCAGACCACTTCAATGGTATGAAGTGGTCTGGGTGCCTATAATGTCCCTTTAAGGAACAGCAGTTATGCATACTACAGATCAATGGAATACTCACTGATTACCATACTCAGAGATGGTACACAGACAGGACTTTTAATTATTGCAGAATAAAGTGTTGCAGTTCATTGTTACATGGCAACACAATGCTTGAACCAATGTGCTGTAAGGACTTTCCTCAAGAAAAAGTTTACATCTAAAGAGAGTGATTAAGTAGACTGCCTCTCCATGAAAACCAGTGTGGAGAAAATCACAATAAGGTGAGTTATTTTAGCTACCCCTGTTGGCGTGGTTTAACCACTCCCGTTTCAAACTGCAGCCTGCTCTCTATCCACCACTATCCACCACCAAAATCATCAGTGTTCATCTATGCCAACCCAAAGCCTTAGAGAAGCATTAGGGAGGCTATTGTGCGTTCATGGCAATTAGCACACTGTATTAAGCATCTTTATATAGAGATGCATTACACCAATGCATATATATGGAAAACGTTTTGTGTCTTCATATTGTGCTTGAAGACCCTGGGCGTCAGTCTTGCAAAGAATGAAGGACAGCAATAGGAAGCATTTTTAGTGGCTGTCTGGGTGGTAGTCACTAGAGGTGTTCTAAGTGATAAATGTAAACATTGCACAGAAAAGGCTATTTGCACCAACACCACTACAGCTGTACCAAAACATCTAAAGTGGTTCTGGTGCATCGAGATTTCCTTCAAATGAAACAACACACAGGCACAAAGATACACACCTAACAAGACATGCAAAACCTTATAATGACACAGACATCCTCACTCAGTACACATTCATTAACACACAAACATACAGACAGACTCACAGATGCACAGTCACAATCATACATTACTCAAAGTTGTACACGCACTGACACACAACCGTAGTCACACACAAATACATGCATATTTATACATTTAGGCACATATACTCATAGTCATAGCTACAATACAGCCTCTGCTCTTGTCATACCACCCTTTGTGTCTATTAACCAGACCCCATTAAGGATACCAGGCATGTCCGTACGCTGCTTCACAGCACTCTGTGTGTCAGGAGAGACAGGGATGTGACGTTGATTAACATCCCCACCCCTTCTCCCCCCACACAGAGCACTGTGCAAGGAGGATAAGAAAGAAACTGTCTGCAGTGCTGGGCATTAAACTGTGGGCTGGTGTAAGTTGCACTATCGCAACTGCTCCCCTCGTCATCCTTGCCCTGATGGCGCTGGGTGGCAGGACTCTGGTTTTAAGGTAAAAAAAGGCTTAAACAAACCCA